AAACTTAGTCAATATATTTCGATTAAAGTGATTAGGAAATGTTGGGAAACTCAACAATAATAACTCAAATTATTCCAAAGCCTTAAGATGACTAATATTTACTCAACCGTTTTTGCAGTGGCCGAACGCAAAAAAACATTTCTTATTCACAAATCCCTTATGAAATTTGATTTAGCTGATGCCTTGCTTTCCTTAATTGTCACATCTAGTCTGTACTCCAATAGTACCTGTGACTGTGAAGTCGAGTGGTAGCATTTGTCTGCGTCAGAATCACAGCCCAGCCTCAAATCCAGTTGGGTGTGCTGATGAGTTGAGTTGAGGCAACGTATAATCTGCGTTTCTGTACGGCCGGTATAGGATAGAATTTCTGGGCGTAAAGGTAAGCTAACCTCACAGGTCACGTGACATCTATTCACGGTGGTGTAGAGAAAATCACATATTCGTCGTCAAACCACATTAATCGTCCAATTGTGACTGATTAGTCATGTTATTATTAATGACATAGAAACAAGCTACTTATGAGTAGCTCGATAATATGCCTTTAAGATCGGCAAGTTTGTCCGGTTAAGAATTGAAAGTCGGGTAGAAAATGCCTCACGAAACCAATGAATTACATACAATCTTGCATCCAGGCTGTACTTCCGGTCCAATCTGGCCTACTTGTCTCATTCTTATTCCTCATTATCCCATGACTTCCAAGGTAGTTTAGCTTCTCATAGGAAACGGTGTCGTTAGGACGGAAGGTGATTTTTCCAAAGTGATTATCTTTTTCGCATGTACAACTTGTTTTCCCGTGGGAAAGACAACTAACTTGCATAAATGACCTTATGCAAGCTGTGTCAAGATCTATGCGACATTTCAAAGTATATACACTTAATCTGGCTGTTGTGAAGTACAGACAGATCGGGAAATTCTTTGAAGAAATGTTGGGCTTCAAATACGTCTTCGGAATTTCTATTTCCAGCAAAAAGTTGGCTTGTTTGTTGTTTATTTGGCCTATATTCATATTAACTTTCCTACACGTCACACTAATAATGGCCACTGCAAACAGCAAACACACAAACACAGACATGCAAACGATCACAATTGCATGCGTAAACATTCCGGCAGCAAAAAGACATGTGAACTGGCATACATAACTTCAGTAAAAACATATTCTGGCTTTGGATGAGGTCGACTGCTCGAATACTTTTAAGCAAACTTTTCCTCCGAAATAATAAGCCCAATTACAAAATTTATTATATACTACCTAAGTAGTCTGCACATCAACCCTCATTTTCTCGGTATTACATGACATTGCTGCTTAGACCATTGTTGGCATGACGGGTTTTGCCGTTCTATCAGCTTACAAGTGGTTTGATGATCTACCGAACGAGGGGAACATCAAAAGAATGTATAAAAAGAAATTCATTCGTGTCTTCTTTTGAGAATTTTCGCACCCTCTTTCTAGGCTGGGCTGTTACAAGGTTTGGTGTTCATGTGATAATGTGTGTGTGTGTAAAGACCTGCTGACCTATCCAGAAGAGATTATGTGAACACACAACCGCTTGTAAAGGGGTACTGGTGCAAAAATCTGAGTTCACTCAACACACGATTGGTACAGCAGACTCAAAATACTGGCTTAAAAACACAATATTTTGCCGATTACGGGGATTAAAGATTAAAAAGTCTATCGAAATTGACAAAATGACCAACATCTTGAATGAAGGTTACGAGTTTGGTAGGTTGAATGAGCTCAAGGAGAGGAAGAGAGAAAAGGAGTGAACAGGAAGAGCCTCGAGTCCGGTTGAAGCTATCACACCTCTTCTGATATGAACATCAGTTCTACACAAAAGACAACAGTGCATACACAAACATGAGCCCATTTTGGCGGATTGTGGGCTAGTTTCTGTATGAAATCAACTTCCGGTTCATGACGGGACTTTACCAATCTGTAGGTATGTAGAGCCGGTTTGAGGTGGCCAACCAGATCATAATATGTCTCGTTGGGGAGGCAAGGATAGGGTTGTAGCGGGTCCCCTTTTTATTTTGTTGCGTCTATTTTTTGCGCCATTTCGCAAAGTATGCATTCCTGCTCTGATGACGTCTGTAGCGACGCTAAAGACGAGATCTCGGACGACGGCAGAACGGCAACCCGACATATTTTCGTCAAAATCCAATCGACTATTCGCTACTCCACGACAACCACTCTTCGTTTTCCGAGGAGACGATTTAAAAAATTCCTTCTGAACGAAAAGTCATTTCACAATAAATCATCAATTAATTTTCTTCGAAATCCACTATTTTCTTATGTCTTGTTGACGCGGTGCTTGCTAACTCGAAACTATTGCAAGAATGATCTCCGGCTCTGGTGAGGTGGATCAGTTGCGCCGTTGTCACTCGAGATCTTGTCAGCTGCATCAAGACCTGAAGGTGGCACTAAGGCCAACCGGATGCAAGACTACCGAAATCGAGATTGGTGTTGGTATGAGACGAATTGAAGAATCTCTCACTCTAACCTCACTTGCGGACCAAGAGAAAGTTCCCCCAAGAATGTGATCAC